TTTTTTTAGACCCAAATAAAGCTTAGTTACTAAGCTTGATAAGTTATAGTGGAATTCTGTGGTATTTATGTAGTAATTTGATTTTTTTAGTTTTTCAAATGTATATATATATATATATAAAACCTAAAAAATTATTTTGTTTCATATCTTCCACTTGCAAAATTTTAAAGGCTTAGCAACCTACATCAAACAGCAACCGAGTAGAAAGGTTGTAACTAGAAGAGATAATTGTTTGCTTTACTTCTTGATTTACTGTTCTATGTTTTAGGAAATTTCAAAATAGCAGTAATCTGTATACATATATATATATAATGTATAATAATTCAAATGTGACTGTATTTTACAAAATGCTAGTTGACTAAAACACAGCTAAGACAAGTTACTTTGTATAGACCAAAGGTCTCCTTTATGTTCTTTGATAAGGAAAGAAGAGTGCATGTGAGCTGCATTGTTGTAACTTATGTATTGTTAGCCAGGCATGGCTGAAAGGTCTATATAATAAAAATAATAAATATATATAAATGTATAATGTTATGAGATTTAAGCTATTTCATCTAAACAATTATGTTTTCATGTTATTATTCGTGTTCATTCTAGAATGAAATAAACATAAAATTTATGTTTATTTCCTAATTTTTTATGGTGGTTGTGAGATCATTCAAATCTACCGAAGCCGTACAGAGCTCACTTACAAATTTAAAAGTTATAGCGTGAAAACAATAACAAGCACACAAAATGGTTACGAGGTCGTCACATTGACCAACCTTGTATTGAAAGAGTTAACATCAGCCAAAGGTTCTACTGCCAGTCTAACATTTTGCTTATGTTCGGAGAATTTAAATATATCATTAGTATTAATTTTACGTTTTCAGTCAATCTTTTTTCATATAATTTTTTTAATTCCTAATGTCTCATTTGACCAATTATTTTTTATCTTCCATAAACCTGCAAATCTCCTGTCATTACAATCAACTTAAACTTCTTAAATTTATAAAGTTTTTCCTTACCCTTTATACTTGTTGTGAGCCAACCTGGTGTTTTGTTTGCAACCATCTTTTTATATACATATAAGGAACATGCCTATCTTTGTTTTCTACATTTAATTGACATTTTCATTTAATTCATTTGTCCAATCAACAGCAAATAATCTGTCCTCTGCCTTCAAAATCTGCTTTTTTGAAACTTGGAACCAAAATATCATTATTCCTCATCTTCATAGATAGCAAAGCCCCAAATCTGATTGATCAATGACAACTTGCACCCAGATGTTCCCAAAATATCCACCCTATTAACCATTTCTTTACTAGGAGTGAACAATAAATCTAAAATAAAGTTCCTTAGTGAAAAAACCCCATCTTGAACAGTTTCTAAAAGTCTGTCTTGCTCATGATTTGACTCTAACATTTCCAAATCTATTAAAGGTGTACTGATATGAATTGTCACTACTTTACCAATATGCCGATATTTTAATGGTTATGGGACCGATTGCTGATTTTGTTACCAATATTTGAATTGTTTATAGGCATTACATATGGCTTACAATAGTTAGTATTAGATACAATCAAGAACACATACACGTGTTACATGTATGCAGATTTAATATTTAAAACCTACAACAGGTAAATTGTATCTAACAGACACTAACATTTCAACTTTCTCAGTACAAAGTTGGCTTCTATGATCATCATAAATATTACCAGCTCCAGAAAAGTCTCTCCAATAGGACACTGGGTTGGTGGTGCAGTAAGGTAATGTCTAGTATCTTAGCTGAGATAGGATATGGTAGCTTGTTACCGTTCCACCATAAGTAATGTCTAATATCTTAGCTGAGATAGGATATCGTAGCTTGTTACTGTTCCACCAGAGGTAATGTCTAATATCTTAGCTGAGATAGGATATCGTAGCTTGTTACTATTCCACCCTAAGTAACGTTTGGTATCTCAGCTGAGATAGGATATCGTAGCTTGTTACTGTTCCACCATAGGTAACGTTTGGTATCTCAGCTGAGATAGGATATCGTAGCTTGTTACCGTTCCACCATAGGTAACGTTTGGTATCTCAGCTGAGATAGGATATCATAACTTGTTACTGTTCCACCAGAGGTAATGTCTAGTATCTTAGCTGAGATAGGATATTGTAGCTTGTTACAGTTCCACCATAGGTAATGTCTAATATCTTAGCTGAGATAGGATTTTTTTTTAAGCCATAGGTGCAGCATATGGAACAGCCAAGTCAGGATCTGGAATTGTTTACATACCAGCTCTTAGAATAAACCTTTGTTTCATATATATATATATATATATTTTTTTTTTCTTTACAGCTCTAGGAGCAGCCTATGGAACAGCCAAGTCAGGAACTGGAATTGCTGCTATGTCAGTCATGAGACCTGAACTTATCATGAAGTCCATTATACCTGTGGTTATGGCTGGTATTATTGCTATATATGGGTTGGTCGTCGCAGTGTTGATAGCCAACAACATCAAGTCCCCTTCAGATGGATACCAGTTGTACACGTTAGTAAACAGTTTTTTTTTAGTTGAGATCTGTTTGTAGTAGTCTTGATTTCTTTGTTAATAATTATTCTCTAAAAGATGTATTAATTTAATAATTCAATATATTATAGTTTGTTACCTCCACCACTGAAATTGACGGAGGTTATGTTTTCACCTGTGTGTTTATAGCAAGATTTGGTATACATTTGTACTATAACCCAACTTAGAATTGATTAGTTTTTGGAGGGTCAAGGTCACGAAAATCTCAAAAATCCACATCTGTAAACACAGGGACTGATTTTTCACATTATTTTTGCTCTATAACTCAGTCCAAAATGATCAGATTTTGATGAAACATGATGAACATATGTAGAATATTATTCATCATTGTCCTGCCAAAAATGGTCTGTGTCTGTTGATAACAACGAGACATACAGACACATTTTTATATATTTTGAGAGCCAAATATGATCAATGCTGAGTGCCCCTCTAGTTCTGATCTGGTAATAGTGAGATATACTAATGCCTTTATAACATTTTGGAACAACACGGGACCTATTGGTCCATCTTGGCTGTTCCATCCTCTAAACTAAATTCATTCATATACTTATCAATCTTTGTCTTAAACTCACTTACATTTACTGCCTCTACAACATCCCAAGGCAACCCATTCCAAAGGCCAACCACCCTGTTAGAAAAATGAAACTGTCTTAGCTGAAGATAACTCCTATCCTGTTAAAATTTATATTTATGTCCCCTAGTCCTGCTATTCTAAACTGTTAAATATGACAAAATATGATGCAAACACTATCAATTCCCTTTACAATCGTAAACACGTCAATCGGATCCACACTAACTCTTCTTTTTTCTCTCAAAACAATTTGAGAGATTTCAACCTCTCCTCATATGACAACCCCTCCATCCCAGGCACCATTCTAGTAACCTTTTCTAAACCCTTTTCAACAATTCAATGTCTTTCCTGAGGTAAGGAGCCCAAGACTGAACACAATATTTCAAATGTGGCCTAACCAATGACCTGTACAATGAAATAATATCCTCTTTAGACTTATATTCCATATTTTTTTTTTTAGATAGTACCTAAAATCCTATTTTCCCTACCATTAGCAACAGCACACTGTTTGGATAGCTTTAGAGACTCAACTATTACACCAAGGTCCCTTTCTTTCATAACACTATTAAAGTTATTCCCATCGAAATTATACTTCTAATTCAAATTATGATAATCCACATACATTATCTTGCATTTATTATAATTAAAACCCATCTGTCATTTATTTGCCTAACTCACTAAATGATATAAATCCTTTTGTAAATCAGAAGTATTAAAGGGACAGTTTTTATCAACTCCCTTGAAAAAAGGAGTTACATTAGCTAACTTCCAATCCTCTGGTACCTGCCCACTATTCAAAGACTGACAAAAAATAGTAGTAAGTGGCTCACTTATCCAATTTTTAACCTCCTTCAAAATCCTTGGGGAAATATTATCTGGCCCAAGAGCCTTATCATTTTTTAAACTTCCCAATTTTTCTTAACCAGCTCAGAATTAATGCAGTCATCTTGTTTGCTATGTTTTCCATTTATCAACTGATCAAGATGTGGAATACTG